CGCCGTCGCACCACCGAGGCCTGGTGGCCAAGTGCGCCGCCAACCCTTGTGCAGCTGCGGGCGGAAGTGCCGTCAACCGTGGACTTTCCCCTCTTTTGAGACTGCGATGATCCGCCACTGTGCCGCGAGGCACTGAGTGGAGTGTCGTGAGGGGCTTCCTCGTGTCACCGGGAGAGTATTGCAAATGCTCCTGAACGCCCAATTGCAGGATTCCCCAGAGGGTCTCGCGTGCCTTCTGGGGCTTCCAGGGTGCTGTCACGTGACTTCCTGAGGCCAGAGGGCCCCAAGACGGCCAAGAGTGTCCAAAGGGGCCCTCAAGACCCGTCCAAGAGAGCTCCAGGACGGCCCAAGAGCGCTCCAGGAGGTCTGTCAGTAACTTTGGCATGGTTTGCACGGGGGGTGAGGGGTGGGCTGGTTGGGGGTGCGTGCAGGCTGCTTTATGTGCTGTCTTTTGATATCGACGAGGGCTCTGAGTCCGTTTCGAATTGGCGGCATGAGCCGTCAGGCCTCCCAATACTCACTGCACACAAGAACGCCGAAAATTGGCGCCATCCCAGGGCTCATGACACACCCGATGGTCAGCCTGGTCCCAAGCGTGCTGCATTTCCGCTGCCCGCAACCCAGCTGTGTGTGAGGAAGGGCCTGAGTTCCACAAGCATTTGGTCACGATGGTGGGAGGTGGATCCGCGCAGCAATAATCTTGAGGTGGCGAAAGGGTCTCGGGCGGAGGGAAGGCCCCCAGATCACATCAAACGAATATCGTTGTCTCCCCTAGCGACGCCGTGCCTTGCTTCAAAGTCGGCACGTCTGACATCGCGTCTTTCGCCCATGCCGTAAAAGCGCCGCCCTCGTTCGTCTTCCAGCCGTAGAATGCATCCTCGCTGGAAGAGTCCCAGTCCGCAGGCAATAGTGGAGAAAGCGGCTTGCCCTGCAATAGCGCATGATAAATGACATGCAGTGTGCGCTGCGGCACGTAACCGGGCACCATGTGTCCCGAACCTCGCATTGTGACGAAATCGAAGGTTAACCCAGGAACACTGGATTCGTAGTTGACCACGAACCCCCCGACCTGAGCACCAGCTGCCTGTGCACGAAGATGAGGACCCCACTGCACAGGCTTGTTGACCAAGACATCGACGTCGGCGGCTGTGGAGTTGTAGAACCACGGACGCCGATCCCCACCCAATGACACCGGCAACCCGATCGCTGTCACAGCAGCCTCCGTTCCGTGCAAATTGACGACTGGGTCAATGTCACCGCTGGAGATGATCACGCGCTTCAGATTGCTCGCGGACTTTGCAGACTTCGCGGATACCAGTAAGCTCTGATAGACATCAATCATAGACTTCCCGTTGTTCTCCCCTGTGTTGCATGCCGCGTACTCGCTGTCGTACCCTGTGTACCCATTGTTGTCCAACTCAAGGTGGTAAACCTTGTTCGGACTAGAGGTGGCATGCAATGCCGCCCTGACATCTGCACGTGAGAAGTATTCGGCCGGATCTGCTGCGTTTGCGGGCTCAGCTGGTCCATACGCATTGAGGGGATCAATATACATTGGCAAGCCTGGCACCTCTGGCGGCTGCACAGCGTCGCCAATACCAGCGGTGGCGATGTCATAAAGCCGCCAAGATCGTTTGCATTCTAAGCTGCCAGTCTTCCGTATCCTATCGCCGACTGGGGTCCTGCCATCAAAGCAGCCGTGAGCTGGATCGCTCAATGCATCGTAGACTTCCTTTGAGATAAGGCCCTTCTGGTAGCAAAAGCTCACGCTCAAGTCGATCCAGCCGAACTGTGCCTTGTTGTCTGTGCAGGGGTCGGTGACCCACATGCCATGCAAATTGACAACGCTCGTGTCCTGGAAATGCTCAACCATGGCGGCGGCGAGAGTTGGGATGTAGACCCCCGCGTAACTCTCGCCAGCGAGGTACAGCGGTCGACCTGCCATCGATGGAAACACCTCCGTCAGGAGTTTCTTGATAAACACCAGGTTCTGGTGTGCAACCGTGCTGTCGGATACTGGGCAAGGAGAGCAAGTCCCCTGGCTCTGCGGGCATGGTGCGGATGGGCCCGCTTGCGTGCTGTTCGCGCAGTAACTATAACCAACCCCTGGGCCGAACTCGACATATAATACATTCGCCGCCTGATTCCAAGCATACGGATTGCGGACAAACTCTCCGACGGTATTGAAGAGCAATGGGCCGTTTTCAGTCAGAAACCCTGCCAAGGAGGAGGCACCTGGCCCGCCATTGAACCACCAGATGAGAGGGTCCGCGTTCGGGGCCGACTGGCTTTCAACCAAGTAATAAAAAAGATTCGTGCGCGTGGCAGCGTCAACCTCTACGAAGCCAGAGTGGTGGACCGTCGGTGGCGGGCCGTACCCAGGCACGGATTCGACACGACCCGTGTCTTCGAGCGCAAGGCCAGCAGCAAACAGCGCACAGAGAAGCGATGCGAAGCGCGGCATGGCAGGCGTGCTGCCGCTGAACTGGGCCGAAAGACTGCGTCTTGACCAGAGCCAGCCCAGCGCTGCCATCACCGCACTCAGGACCAAAACCGTGCTATACCAGTTGTCTGAACATGCATTCCATACCACGTGAGCATTTTCTTATTCGGCGTTTCGACTTTGGGCGAAAGGGGGGTGGGAGGGGGGGGGGTCTGGCTCCAGACCTCTGCTTAGTGCGGCTGTTTGCAGCAGTGCGTCGTATGGAGGAGACTCTACATGCTTGAAACAGGCGCCAAAAAACAGCCAAGATCTGCTCCATGAAGGGGGGGGGGAGGGGAGGGGGGGCGAGGCCCCGCGCCGATCGGCAAAATGATGAGTAAGACAACGATCACATGACCACAACCGTGCTATACCATCTGTCTGAGCATGCGTCCCATACCATCTCATGACTTCCCACGCTTGCTGATGGTGCCCATTCCAGCTCACACCGATTTGCCCCGTGCCTCACTGCAGGCTTGTCACACTGCTCCTCTCGGTTGGGCTCTCCTCCTCTCTGCCCTACCGCGCCCGGAAACTGCCTCCCGCCAATGATCCCGTTTCATGTTAACCTACTGCATTATTCGTGCGCCGGTGCAGCGCTAGACATGGTTTCTGATGCGTTTCAAATGTAGGGGGATCTCGCGGCAAACAGCGACCAAGAAGCCTTCTCAGTAGTCTCTGGTCCTCTGGGCATCTGAGCCTCTTGCCAGTTCATGGTTGAACAGCGGCCCATTCATCAACCAGTAACCAGCCATGAGACTCAGAGGCCCCAAGGCCCAGACGCATCTTAGAGAGATTCCTTGTCGTTTGCCCTGAGATCCCCCCACGCCAATGATCCTGTTCCATGCAAGCCTACTCCACACTCTGTGTGCCCGTGCGTCGCCAGACATCGATTTTGCTACGTTTCAACAATCATGGAACGCCCCTGGCATCCGCAAGGCCTGCTTCAGGGCCACAAACACCAACGGGATGCGCCCCCAGTAGCGACGCCTGCGACATCTGCTGGGGAAGCGGCCACCCCAAGAATTTCTGGCTGTCACAGTCGGGCCCGGGAGTGTTCGAGGGACCGCCCCCCAATCTCCCAGACTGTTCACCACACCACCCCGAGAGTGAATTGTCAACTCTGTCGTGGAACTCTTGGGGAGGAGAGGGGGTGTAGAGATGGGTGCTCGGATGGGCGAAAACATGGGCGGAAACCTGGGTATGCTTCTGAACCTTTGGGGTGCTCTCGGGGCCTTTGGGGTGCCCTCGGGGCCCGAGCTACGTTCCACGGCGGCGCCCCGAAACGTCAGAGCTTGGAGTGCCATTCCGAGCCTCTTTGGGGGCGGTGGCCCTGTCGAAGGGGCAGGGCACAGGCGGGGGCCGGAAGGAGAACGAGAACGAGAACAAGCGACTCGACTTCGTCGGCGAATCAAGAATTTAGTGGCCTTCTGGGCTTGCTCAGCCCTGCTGAACACCTTAGGCCAGGATGGGGGCAGGAAGGAGTGTGTGAGTCCAGAGAGGAGAAGGGAAGAGGGTGAGGACAAGGAGAAGGAGGAGGAGGAGGAGGTGGAAGAGGAGGGCAAGGAGGAGCAGGATGAAGTCTAGGGGGAGGAGGATGAGGAGGAAGAGGAAGAGGAGGAGGAGGAGGAGGAAGAGGAGGAGGAGGAGGAGGAGAAGGAGGAGGAGGAGGAGGAGGAGGGGATGCAGGAGAAGAAGGTCGAGCAGGAGGTCGAGGAGGAGAAGGAGGAAGAGAAGGAGGAGGAGGAGGAGGAAGAGAAGAAGGAGGAAGAGGAGGAGGAAGAGGAGGAGGAGGAGGACAAGGAGAAAGGAGGGACGATGGGGAGGACGAGGTTGGGGGTCCTGGGCCGAGCACCGGCAGCAAAACGAGTGACGACCGCTGGCCTCAGAGGCGAGGCACTGCTCGCTCCTCCTGTAATCTTAGCCGCCCCGATACGCAACACGCAACCCGTAGAGTGTTGACGCGGCACATTCGCAAAAACATGGGCCAACATATGGAGCCAACAAACAACGCATTGACACAGACGTTTTCAGCACGGTCCGCGTTGCGTTAAAAAAACGGGCGTCTCGAGGCAGCTAAGCCTGCAAGGCATCGGTGTTGCCGACGCGCAAGCGAACGCTGGTCCGTATGATCACCCTCCTGCACGCCAGTCTGGGCCAACGCGCCCCTGGCTCCGCGGGATCCTGCAAGATCCAGCACTCTGGCTTGAAGGGGGAGGCGCGGGGATGAATGAAGGATGATGACGACGAGACGCAGTCGGAGCAACCCCCAGAGTCTTAGGGGTGGCCCAGAGTCTGAACAGCACTTTTTTCAGATTGGCTGAATACCCCGTCTGCACTGACCCCCGGCTTCAAGGCTCCCGCACTGCTCCGAGGCGCAATGCCGCGGGGCGGATGGGCCAGGCCGCGTCGCCGCGGCCCGCGGACCCGACGGCGTGCCCGGCCGCGGCCTCTGGGCGTCGAGTCACGGGGGGGAGGAGCGGAAAGAGAACGAGGAGGAGGAGGAGGACAAAGAGGA